CGAACGAAACGACGTTTGTTTCCCTTTCTTCACCTGCGATAACAACGGAACATCGTACAAATTGTCCGTAAAAAAAAAAATCGATCGAGGTTTGGTTCTTGTCGACGCTTCTTCGCATGCAATCGCGCCTTTTCCCTTGTCCTCTGGCTTCAGGGTTTCGCATCAACATACACATACATCGGCTATACACAGGTATATACTAACAACGAGCCAAAGTTGACGACATGGTTCGGAAAATCATGGTTTCTTCTGTGTTTCTCTCGCGTTTCCCCATCCGTTGCCACCGAACGTGCCTTTGTTATATGCCGACGAACTTTTTTAGAAACGGAATGGAGCCGGTGAATTCGAGTTGCTTGATCTTAACGTACAATTTTCTTTCCTTCTAGGTACTGGTGTCCGCGTCGTCGTACAGACGAGAATCGAAAATTCGGATGCATTTACCAATGCCAAGGCAAAGAGGTTCCCATGCCCGAATTGCACGAGCGCCTTCGGCCAAAAGCCGAGTCTGACCAGACATTTGCGATACGAGTGCAGGCAAGAGCCACGATTTCAGTGTCCCTACTGTCAACAACGGAGTAAAAAGACGTCGGACATTTACGCGCATATCAGAAGGAAACATGCGAATCTGAAAGTTTTCGTTATCGATATTCACGGATCGATCGCGCACAGCTCGTTCAACTCGTTCAAAATAGATGGGCTTTGAAAACCACTTCAAAAGCTTCATCGGATTTCGTACGTTTATTACGTTTGTTGCGATTACGTTTGTTCAGCGTTTATCACGATGTCCTAATCTTCGTTGTCTGGCTGCGACTCGAACGAAGCTAACCAAGTCTTTTTTAACTTAAATCTGTATGAACTATGTGTATAAGAACGGACATATGTGTGCCTTTATGCATGCATGAGAGTACGATGTGCGTAATGGGAATAAAATTCTGGTTAAATGAATTCAATAAAATTTTATTTATCTCGATGTTACTCATTATACATGTATTATATCCATTTCAACCACGTGCTCCGGCATTTTGTCAATGTACTTTCGTGTTCTCGCATAGCGGTTTTATTTCAGGTCACTTTACCCAGCGACGTGGTCAACGGGAACTTGCAAATTGTGCGGCTAGAATCGTTCGGTGATGTTTTTTTAATTCATAGAACGGGTTCTAGATGTCTCTTCGTTGTTGACGATTCGATTCGAATTATTAATCTTTCAACACGTTGTCGTCGTCGCGGCGCCTTTTCCCTCTTCGTCCTCGTCCTTTCGCTCCTCATCGGCGCCAAATAGCTGGTTGTTGCATACACGAATTCTGTCATTGACGATCCACGCGACTTGACTAGCTCGTTGATTGTGCGCGAGAATTTTGCTGCGTTTTCTGTTTCAGTTAGTCTTGGTTTCGGCAGCTGGTGGAACAGGTCGAAGAAATTCTGCTGCCCTAATTGCCCAAGTGGATTCACTAGAGAAACGAATCTTCGAAGGCACGTGCGATATGGATGCGGGCAAGGACCAAGATTCAAGTGTCCCTACTGTGAGATGCGTTCGAAAGAGATCTCGAACGTGTATAGACACATTAGGACCAAGCATCGAGGAATGTGCGTCTTTCTCATCGACATCGCTACCAACAGACAGTTTTATGCGCGAAAGAATTAAGATCTAGATGCGACGCGGAGGGAGCCCTGTGCGCACGGAATGATTCAATTGAATGAACAAAAAA